GAGGGATGAAAGAGAAGTTCCAACGAAAGACCGTGCCTTCAAGGGCATCAGCCAGTGGATGGTTTGTGAGGCTGGGCAGGCTTGTTAAATTTCTTATTGTTGGGCAGGGGGATTAGAGTTCCAGAGGCAACTTGCAAAAAACACCATTGGATGGTAACTTGCATTCTTTTCCTGAAAGGGAATTCTTTCTTCTCCTTCAACACTGTTTGCTTCTTGCGGTTGATACCTACCTCTGCTTCAAAATATCACAGCTAACTAGGAGGGGCCATTCAATAGCAAAACCATTTCCCCTCGCATTCTGTGATATTTCAGTTTTGCAGTAGAGTTTGCAAGGCTTGAAATCAAATGCAGCAATTGGTTCCTTCTGAGAAAAATGATCCCAATCTACCAAAATAAGAGCCAGACAGACTCTGATTGTTCCTTTCCCCACAAGGGGCTTGCCCTTTTCGAAGGTGTGGGTAAATTTTGATAGGACCTTCTGTCTAACAGGGTTAGGCACTGAGAATTGCCCTTCCCCTGGGTAAAACCCGCTTTTAAATGTCATTTTAAAATAGACCTCAAAGCATCTTTGAAAATAAAAGTACTTTTATGTCTCTCTGTTGTCTTACCCCCTCCCTCTCAGCAAGGGAACTTCAGTTTTCTCATAGGGCACTTCCTGCTGCAGTGTCTAATCCTAACTGTGCTCCCTGGTTAGCATTTACTTTAACTTTCCACAACACATGGATAGCATAATAAAAACTACGAAACCAAAATCTTTCCTAATTTAATTTTTGTTATGCCCTTCATGTGTTGGGAGAAGTTAAGTAAATGCTAACCAGGGAGCTAAATTTTTCTTTCTCAGTTTTGATCAAGTCTAGTTTCATAGATTTTACACTGTCAGGATTTTTTTTCTATTGGTTGCTAGCCTAGTGTTCATCAGTACAGTCAGCACAAAAGCCTTAACTTTCCCCAGCCTTCTTACCCTACTTTGATTAAAGGTGCAGGATTGTACCTGTTAAGAATCCTTGTTGTCTGTCAGCTCTTCCACTCCCTGGGGACGTGAAAAACATCATCTTTATGATACTTGCAATTTTTTTTTCTCCGTATGTAAGGATTTTCAAATCAAACCAAGCTTTTTTTTTTTTTTCTTCTGTCTCTTGTCCTCTTTTCTTCCTCCAGTATCATACAGCCCATGATTTGTCAGGCACACACAGGAGGCTCCTGAGCCACCAGTCACATGAGAATGAAGGCAAGAAAAGAAAGGACCAGATGGCATCAAAAGATACGCCTTTCTAGGTCGTTGGTGGTTAAGCTTGCAATCTGGTTACCAGCAGGGAGACTGTGGGAGAAAGGGTGGAGCGGAGCCCAGCACCATTGTAAGGGAGGAAGAATTGTGCCAGGCAGTTTACAGTCACAAGGTGTTCATCGCTCTCAGAAGTGTGCACCTAAACGTGGCCTTGCAGCAGGCACATGTGGACACTTGTGTGCAGTATTGGGATGGCAGCTTTGAAAAGTGTGGCTCCCCCTTGGTTGGCTGCTGTCCTGTAGCTGCTGTTTACCCTTTGTCATTCTACTCTCCAGATGCCTGATTGTTACAAATACGAAAACTAAGAAATGGTATTTGGCTCCCACAGATACACTTCTTCCCACAGGAGAGAGAGGACATGATTCGCCTCTCATCCTTTACACCATTATCTATTTTGGAGAACTGTATTTATGAAACATAGAAATTGATACCACGCCCTGACCAGTTTGGCTCAGTGGATAGAGCGTCGGCATGTGGACTAAAGGGTCCCAAGTTCGTTTCCAGTCAAGGGAATGTACCTTGGTTGTGGGCACATCCCCAGTAGGGGGTGTGCAAGACGCAGCTGATCGATGTTTCTCTCTCATCCATGTTTCTATTTCTCTATCCTCTCTCTTCCTCTCTGAAAAAAATCAATAAAATATATATATTTTTTTTTTAAAATGATACCATTGGCCTTGATGAGACACGATATCTCAGGACATGCTTTCTTGGTGTAAGCTGAATCTCAGAGTGCACTTGTAATTATGTTTTTGACTGAAGGAATGGTCAGTAGTGGCTAATAACAAATATTTGAGAGGACAGTGTGCCTTCCCTGTTCATTAGGCAGTACTTACACCTTGACTCCCTTGGCTTGTCCATCTCCTGATGTGACTGCACTATTGTAGATTGCCAGACTGAACTTGGCTTATACTTTTTTAAAAATAGAATTCTTCTTCAGTTTTTTTCCTTGAATGAAAAAAACTAAGGTATTTTTAATTTTAGGATTCAATTTGATCTCAATATATAAACTATTTCCTTTACTCTTTTAATTCTCTTGAAAATCCCTGCTTTTTCATAGACAAATTCAATATCCTTAAAGTCCAAAGTCAAGTTTCAACCTTTTATAAGTCTACCTTCTCCAATTACAGTCTCTCCTTTTATTCAGTTTCTGTTGCCCTTGCTATCTGTATGACTTACCTTGTTATGAACCAAATGAAACAAAGCAATATATTTTGTTCTGTAGTCTAGATTTTACACTCTTAAAAGTTTACAATTCTTTTTTTTCTTTTTTGTTTTTTTTTTTACATCTTCCACCCAAGCAAGTGTCCAGATTATTGCTGATTATACAAAAGTCATGTAATAAATATACAACTGAATAATTTAAAGAGATAGAAAACATAAACATGTTAATATTATAGTAGTTGATTTCTGTCCAGATTTTAATACGACTTTTACTTATGTCCCATAAAATAGAACATTGACCCACCCAATTTTTCCTTTTGACGTAAAGAATCATTCTGAAGTTATTTTTCCAATACGTACGCTGAATTTCCAAGGTATTTCCTATATATACAGTGAATTTCTTGTTTAAAGGAATTTAAACAAAATTGGCAAGTTATTTTTATGGCAACATAATTGTTAACTTTACTGGTTAGTTTCTTTGCAGACTTATTTACATGATTCATTCAGAGCTCCCTGTTGGGAGCCTCTAGTTATGAGTAAAATAACCACCAGTCTCTCCAACGTCATGTCATGTGTGCAGTTGTTAGGCCTGTGTGATAATGATCCTAATGAAGAGTTTAAAGGCTTTTTTTTTTTTTTTTTTTTTTTTTACTGTGGATTTTGTTTTTTAGTCTGCTCAGCAAGAGCACTCTGGGATCATGTAAAAGACCTCGCCAATGAGGTTTTCCAGTTAAAAATGAAAACTTTATTAAAGGCTCTGTGATTTGGGGAGAGAGTGATTTTTTAATTATTAAGTCACATTAAGGGGAATCCATTGATTTGGGGGGGGGGGTATCTTATCCACATCAAGTATGCCAGGCTTCAGCCTGGAACTAATTGATTAGATTTGAGTTATTGAACTCAGGAGAGAGATTTGGAATAGAAATACTAACAGACTTTCTTAGCTGAGCTAGTGGGTATTGGAAGGTTCTTGACAATTCATCAACCAACTCTCTGACCTTACTACCTTTAATCATCCTTGCTTGCCTACCCCTCTTATGGATTTGCTAGCATTTGGAATTTCACTTGACAATTATTTCATGTGCATTAAGACAGATAAAGCATAGCTTGGTGAGTATGCTAATAAAACCATTTTTGGCCTTCTTTGAGTAGAAAATGGAAGATGTATTTTGTTCCTGGTACAGTTGAGACAGTTGTTCAATTATAGCTCTTTAAGGAATAGGGATAAACCATGAACACATTTGTGAATTTTCTTTCCAGATATATGATTAACTGCTGAATTACATTATGCCTTATGTAACACAGGACCAAAGATGTGGACTAGTATTATTTTAGTGTGGAAATATGTGTCCAGAACTCTCATCATGGTGATCATAGTTCCTTTAGGGTACAGGGAAGGTAAATCCATAAGGTTGGTTGCTAGCATTTCCAGGAGAAATTTCCTATAATTTGCCCTCATGGGATAGGTGGATTAAAGAATGCAAATGACTTTTAGTAAAGAATTTTTCACCTGGCTTTTTCCCGTATGTAGAAAATTGCAGGTGGGTAGTAAAAGAAGAGGGAGAGAGACAGAAATAAAATGAAAAACTAATGAGTGCCTAGCCAGCGTGGCTCAGCAATTAAGCATCGATCTAGGAACCAAGAGGTTGCCAGTTTGATTCCCAGTCATAGCACATGCCCGGGTTGTGGGCTTGATCCCCAGTAGGGAGCATGCAGGAGGCAGCCAATGGATGATGTTCTCTCATCAATGTTTCTATATCTCTATCCCTCTCCATTCCTCTCTCTCTAAAAAAAAAAATCAATAAAAACATACTTTAAAAAGGATATCTTTAAAAAACAGCCAATGAGCGGTATGCTTAGATATTAGGAAGCAAGGAACTGTTTTACAGGTTGTGGTTTCAGTGATTAGAATTGACCACAGAGCTGTATATTTTGCCTAACCCTATCCTTGCCGGTCACAGGATTTTGCTGTTTCTATTGTGCTGGATCATATGAAGTTGTTTTTATAATTGAGAAATGGTTGAATATCAGAAATTTTATATGGTTCAATGATATATAATAATATATAACACTGTAGGACAGCTGTGTGTGTGTGTGTGTGTGTGTGTGTGTGTGTGTGTGTATAAAGTGGAAGGGAGGATATGGAAATCTATGAGCATTTTAATACGTCCTTGGGTTACCCTAGCTGAAAATCCCTATTTTAGCCTTCAGTTTTAGCTATTCAGAATCAAATACAGTTGCCCTAGTATGCTTTCCTACTTCCACATTACATTAATGCAGTTGAGATAGTTTATGGGGCAGGCTAAAATGAAATAATCTCTGACAGAGATTACCATTGGGGATAATAATCTGAAGTGGCCAGTCGCTGTAGAGTACAATAGAAATGGCAGGTTGAAAATCAGTAGGCATATCTGCACTTGCAGATAGGGAATAGGGGTGTAACATGGTTATAGAGTGAATAATGTACAAATTATTATTGGTCTAAAAATAGCTTTTAGGATGTTTCTAGTAGAATATTCAGACTGTGCTTATTTGACTTTTCTGTCTTTCTCAGACGAGCTCATCTGCGCCTATGTTTAGAACGCTTAAAAGTTCTGATTCCACTAGGACCAGACTGCACCAGGCACACAACACTTGGTTTGCTCAACAAAGCCAAAGCACACATCAAGGTGAGAACCTTTCCTTTCATATTTGCACATGATTCTCTTGGTCTTGGTTTTATTAGAAGCAGTGATTCCTATTTCATACACACCAACTAGCTCACCATGCCTTCCTTAATAACTGAATCCAGAGAAATCTAAAATTCTATCAGCTAATCTGATGGGAAGAAGCAACATAACCTGATTAAAATAATTGTTTTGACAGCATGGCTGTTGGAGGAGCTGGGAATAGTTAGAAAAATAATAAGTCTGGTCATACCCCGAAAGAAGGCAGTTGTGCCCTCTGGTGGAGATGACTTCATTTGACTCTCTCTCTCAGTATTTTTCCATCAAACTACACTGCAGAGCCAGTTTCTCTTTCGTGGAGATAACTTTACAGACTTTGAGAATTGCATACTGTTCTATTAAATGTGGCATGCATTATACACCCCCCCCTCCAAAAAAAAAAGTAAAGAAATAATAATTTTTGATGTACTTATGTGTTTTAACACACACACACACGTATTTATAGTATATTCATTCATGTCTAACAAAGAAATCTTTTGAGATGTTAGCTAAAAATCAGTTTTAATGTTTGTACTGGATTATACACAAAGTTAAATATCATTTTAGAAACTTGAAGAAGCTGAAAGGAAGAGCCAGCACCAGCTAGAAAACTTGGAAAGAGAACAGAGATTTTTAAAGCGGCGACTGGAACAGCTGCAGGGTCCTCAGGAGATGGAACGAATACGAATGGACAGCATCGGATCAACGATTTCTTCAGATCGCTCTGACTCAGAGCGAGGTAAGCTACTCCCCTAGTGAAACACTAAGAACCCCTGCACCACCTGCATTTAGGGAACATAGGTTGGGAGGCACTGCCTTTGCCTTTTACTCTTTGGCCAACATTGTAATATTCTAGATTTTAGGCAATCACAACATTGTCTAGTAATGCCCATGTGAACTACAGAACTTCTTTCTTGATCATATATGTATTTTTAATTTTCTACTTTGAAGCAGTTTTAGACTTAGAGAAACGTTTTCTGCACCTAACATCCAGTCTGAACAGCTGTCAACATTCTGTCATTCTCGTTTCATCTGTTCTCCCACTGTCACCCGCACTCTCACCCTCACCATTTTCTGTTGAATGTTTGAAATCAATCCCAGAGGACATTATCATGTTTTCTGTAAATACTTCAGTATGTATGTTTTAAAAAATGGGACTTTAAAAAATAAGATTATATTATTATAATATCCCCCAAAATTAATAAAACCAGATGCTCTTATTCAATGCCATAATAGATATTTCTCAAAAATGGCATTTTACCTTTGGTATGTTTGAATTAGAACCCAAAGTCCACATAGCATTTGTTTGTGCCTTTTAAGATACTTTTCATCTATAAAAATTTCCCTTCCCCACTTTTTCCCCCCAGTACCATTTATTTATTATAGAAACTGGATGGGCTGTTTTTTTAATAGAATTTCCCACATTTTTTATTTGGATGATTGTCTTCATGGGGTCACTTAACAGTACCTCTTATTTCCTGTAATCTAGTAGGTACATCTAGTGGGGTTGATTAAATTCAGGTTCCTTTTTTTTTTTTGAGGCAAGAATACTTCATAAGTAGTGCTGTGCACTTCTTGATGCATCAATATTGTGTCCAGTTGTCTCACTCTAGTGAAAGCATTGGTTAGTGGGTTCAGATATTGTCATTTTGATACTTTTATGTGAATGTTTCAGTCTTTCACTTAATAGTTTTAGCAGTCATTATTGCCCTGATTTCATTGGATATTGCAAAATATTGATTTTCTAATTTTATCATTCTTCTGATGTTTAAACTTTTCCTTCTATAAAGAAGAACATTTCCTTTAGTTTATGGTTACTCTGAAATAAAGTCCATATAGGGGAAATGGGATGTTTTTGTTTTATATCAATTTTCTGAATAAGTTGGTGCCTTGGTAACATCCAGAGGTAATAGGGCTTTTTGTTTTGCTATTTTTATTTATTTATTATGTTATGAACTCATGTTTTCATGTATTGAATGTGTTAAGTCCATTGTAGTCATTTTTCTTTTTAATACTCAAATTTCCTATATTCTGTAGGAGCTTTTTAAACTGGTTTTTTTTTTTCAATCCCTTTAAACACACACTAGGAGTCCTTAGGTTTGTTGTTTTTCTTATGTAAAAGTCTTTTTTATGTGGCACTCAATTTTGAAGAACAAAAATTTACTAGGGGCAACAGCAAGAACCTCTAGGACATGCTACATTTATGAGTGACCGTGAGGTTTAGCAGAAATACTCTTGAATTAGGAGGCAGACCTTGATCCTAGTCTTTTTTTTTCTAGTGCTTACACACTGTGATCTGTCAGGTCTTCATGCTTTAACTTCCTGATGTTATCTCCTCCTTGTACCTACCCTCTTCCAAATTTAGAGGTTGTATCTTCATCATCATAGTTATCATTTTTTTAGTACTCCCAGTATATTAGTTGCCTGATCTATATTATTCTTGTTCTTATCTGACAGCCCTCTTTCCCGGGAACTTTTAGTAACAATCTCTATTCCATTTGGCTAGAGCATGTCTCATTTTACTTTGTTTTGAGTTCAGCGTGCTTTGTTAGATAGTGTGTCTTCATTTTATTTCCCAATTGGAGGTTGAATGCATGTTCTGTGATACTAGGAAGCACTAAATAGCCTGTGAAGCATTGTGGGTATGAAACAAATAGTTATGAATTCATAGGATTATTTGGACAGCTTGTTTGGACAGCTGCCTGCATTTTAAAAACAGATCTCTAAAACTTTTGAAGCAACAAGCCTTTTGAAAATTATACTCTTTGAACTAACTTAACTCTTGTCTTCTTGGGCTCAGCAAGAATCCACTTTTCCTAAAGCAATTGTGATCAGTGTGAACCCTTCAAGTCAGTGCCAAATGTGAAGCATTAGGCTTTGAGTTTAAGGGCACTGAAGAACCTTGGGTTCATTCTAGCTATTATGGGAGAAAACAGTTTTCAACTGCCTTTTATTTTTTAAAATGTGTATTGCTTTTTATGTAGTACTTAACAATTGAGATATCTACCGGCAGCTGGGTAATAATGTATTTAGACTTTTTCCCATCAAATTTGATTTTTGAAGTTAAATACCACCACTATTATGCCTTTACTATAATCTTTACTTATAGAACTCACTATAATCCAGAAACTTTAAGCATCAGACTTTCATTTCAAGCTATATTTAACGCAAGAAAATTAAATTGGAAGACAAATCCCATAGTCTGCTTTATAATGACAGGCTTATTTTGGTTACTGAATAGTAAAATATCTTTATGATGAATCTTTGAAGTCTGAAGCACTGTTGGTAGAATGATACTACCAAGGCCTGCGCGGATAAATTTTCTAGTTTGTCTATATTAAGTTTATGCTCTCCTGCCCTCCACCCCCCTTAAAGCAACTCTGATTAATAAACAGACTGAGAATTAGTTTCTAGTTTAATGCAAAACAGATGTTGTTAAACCATTTGGGGTTGGGATCTTTTAATATTAAGCACTAATTCCCAAATAGGCCAAGTGCTTTTGGTGGGAGGTCCAGACAGACTGGCGTCAAAGGCTTTAGTAAACTTGCTGCCTAAATTGAGACCACCACTGTATACCAGACATTCCCTTTTGTAAAATATATCCATGTCTCTTCACCTTTGGTTCCTTCTGTTCTCCAGACATCACTCATAATAAACTTGTTTAGCAATTATTTTATACTATAAAAAGTAATCACTTTTCCTCTGTTGGTTTTTTAAAGTGCCCGTAAACTAGATTACTAACGTTCTCTTTTTCCCCTTTGGCAGAGGAGATTGAAGTGGATGTTGAAAGCACAGAGTTCTCCCATGGAGAAGTGGACAATATCAGTACCACCAGCATCAGTGACATTGATGACCACAGCAGCCTGCAGAGTATTGGGAGTGACGAGGGTTACTCCAGTGCCAGTGTCAAACTTTCGTTCACTTCCTAGAACCCAGCATGACATAACAGTGCAGGGCAAAATATTCACTGGGCCAATTCAATCCAAACAATCTCTTAAATTGGGTTCATGATGCAGTCTCCTTTAAAAGTAACCTAAACAAAATCATACTTGAACAAAGGGGTCAGAAGACCTTTATTTAAGTAAATATTTAGCAAAAAGTGGGGCAGAGCCTCCCCAGCAGAACAAATACTCATTAATATTCACTTTTGAAAATCACAATTTCTAATGGCAGCAGAAAACTTGTGTGAAATTTTCTTGACTTGATTTAGTTGATTTGAAAGGACATTGGAAATTCCATCCTCTTTTTTTCTTTCCTAGTTTTGCTCATAGTGTAGACACATTTAAGGATGGTATTCTGAACCCTTCCTGAGCTTTATGGTCCTAAACACAAAACCAGATCTATAATAATGGCAAGACAAGATAATCAGGCATTAAACTTGAATAGCTACACAGCTATTAAAACTTAGCCTGGGCTAGCTTATCATGAAGCCTGTGGATGATCAATTCTTTAATTTAAAAAAAGAACGCACACTTTCATTTCATGCTCTGCAAAAGGAGAGACTCCCATGAAGCCTTTTGAAAGGGATCATCATGCAGCTCAGCCATCTGTTGGATTCCATGCTAAGCAAGCCAACCTTACCCTGCATTGTTAGCACTAGGGCACCCAGCCGCCAGCTCGTTAGCCACCCTGGGGCAGTTCATGCGTGACAGCCTCTCCCACACAGGGCCTGAGTTTGGACTGAGGGGCCAGAAGGAAGAAGCTCCACGTGCCTCTGTGTCTGCGTGGGCCAGAAGAATTGTGCACGCAGATTAGCAGGCCAAGGTCTGAGCCACAGCAGCATTTTTATTTCAGATTTTGATAACTGTTTGTATGTGTTAAAAACCAAAATGACATCTTTTTAAAGCTTGTCCATAAAAACATAGATGTCTTTTATAGTGGAAAAACATGTGGGGGGAAAAATCATCTATTTTGATGCAGCATTTGATAATGATAAAATGCCTCACTCTTTATAGTGCACAAAGTGAATGAGGTCTGGGCTAGGTAGGAAAAAGGTCAATGCTGTTTTTTTCTTTTAGAATCATTACCAGCTTTTATCCATTTGATATCTATAGTGGACATACTATCATAGTTAACATAGTTAAGTTCTGGACTTGTCTATTTTAATGTAAAGATTTGCTTCTGTTTTCCTACAGGCAGACTCTCCTTCCTCACAGTCCCACTGTGCAGGTGCTATTGTTGCTCTTACCAATATTTTCAGAAATGTTATTTTAAGTGAAATTCCTAGCCTGCACTTTGATGTCATGTGTTCCCTTTGTCCTTCGAATTCCCCTTTTCTCCCTGGCCTTGCCTCCCCCTTACCCCAGGAAGCCTTCTCGGAGACCTCCTTACTACCCCTGGCTCTTTGAACTTTGTATACTTTAAATAATTTAACTACCCATAATTACTTTTAAAAAAGCTTTATGATTTTCATAACTTATTGCTGATTTTAATGGGTTGTTAATTTCAGTCCTGTAGTTTTATTTTGTTTAGATAGGGCTGGGCAAAGAAAAAGAAAATAAAGACAACCATATTTAGCAGTGCAGTCGAGTTGCGTGTGTAATAATTAGACTATCCTTTTTAAGTAGCACTTTAACAGCTTTCACTGCTTCTATATATGAAGTGTACCATCTTGGTCATACACAAGGCCTCAGCATATACTTGTTCTTGTGCTCTTCCTGTGCCTCAAAAATATTTTATCTTTGTGCTGTTTGAGTGGAAGAAATTCTTTGAAGTACATGTGTGAAAAACTGCATGCCTTTAGAAGCCCATTATTAGAACTTGCTACTTCAGGTGCTGGGGACTCAAGGAAAAATGTATATTCCTTTCTGTGACCCAGGTAAATATTTCTGGTTTCATTTTAAATTCCTCTTGGCTGGGTCAAAACATTAACTCTTACATTGCTTACTTTTGACTTTCCCAAGTAAGACAGTTTGAAGACTCTGCTAACTACCATGGAAAGTAAATGGAAGCCAATGACTAAGCTTCCATTTTAACTCCCATGGCATTCACTTGCATCACTTTGCCTGGGCTGGAATTTGGGACGATTCGTTCAGGCGAACTTGAGGTGCTGCCATTTTGTTGTGTATGTATTGAATGGTGGGCTGAGAAGACTTTGTCACGAACCAAGAGTACCTATTTCAACTGCCCCCTAAATGACTCCTTCCCTGGGTTTGTTTTACTGGGGGAGGAGGGTGGATTGTATGATGAGTAAGAAGTATTACTTTTTTAAAAGACAAATCGACTTTGAAGATACACAAGTTAATTGCAAGAAATAAAAATTGTGAATGAATAATACCGAGTGCTTTTTGTACCACCCTTCTCTATGAAGGAAAAATATGTAAATGAGCATCTACACCCTGAGAGGCGACTGTCACCTAAATGTCTGTTGATACTTTAGTCCAGAATTAATGACAATGTGAACCATTGCCATTTCCTATCTATAACTCAACAGGTGCCTTCCTGACAGATAATTCCACCACGTAACCTAATTGCAGATGGTTTACTGAGATATTTAACTGCTTCAGGTAGGACACAAAGCCATGTCATGCATATCTGTTCTCCAAATAACTTTTTAAGGAATCCTTTTGGCTACACATATAGTTCACATTAGAAAACAAGTCTGGAAGCTGACCTGAGAAGCCTGAATGATGGTGCAGGTAAATTTTATTTCAGTGCATACTACCAAAGAAGATTGTGATGTCATTGTTTCTCTAGTTTCTGATTAGTATAGGTATAACTTCTCTGGTGACATGACAGCTTTAGTAATAAAGGAATTCTAAAAGTGAGGATTATTGAGGCAAAACTCCTAACCTAAGGCCAACTGCTTCCTGGACAATTTCTCATGAGAAAATTGTTTAGTCCTTGGGAAGATTTTTTTTTTGTTTTTTTGTTTTTTGTGTGTCTCTTCTGCTTAAAGCAACAAGTTGCCCTTTTCCTTTTTTAAAAAATCTTCAAACTAAAAAATTCCATCCTCCCAATCAAAAACAGCATCATGTGGTAAAAACAAGGGTTTTGGTCACTAAATCCCAGTTCTAGCATTTGCTAAGGATCCTGGGCAAGTTGCTTAATTTCTTTATAGGGACTATTTCCTCCTGACAAGTTGTGATAAATACCTCTCAAAAGGTTGTAAGGATTAATATTGACATATGTAAATTATACTACCCCCTTAATCTAGGAGTTTGTAGCACCAAAAGGAAATTAAGGTATGTAACTTCTCTACTTTTTCTGATAGATGCAATCTTCTAATCTCTTCATCCTTAATCTTGAATATTAGTTATTCTGACTAGGTCTTTCTACAATATTAAATGAAATAGTTCCTTTTCACAAAACTACATAGCAGGTTATACTTTTTAAGAAGTCAATTTTTATTTCCTAATAATTTAAAAAAATAAAGCTTTTACAAGATTGATGGATCATCAGTTTTAGTAATTACCTGGATCTAAAAAAGAAAAAAAAAAGGGGGGGGGGGGCCTGACTACCCTGAGCTTGAGTACACTAATAATAGCCACTGCATAATTGAATGCCATAGTTACCATTTTGTGTTGGCTTTGCTAAGGGGGAAGGGGGGGAGGAGGAGGGAATCTTCCTGGCCCATTTACCAGATCTGACAGAAAACTAGTTTTCTTGTGGAATACATCTGATTCTTCTAATTAATCAGTATAGTTCAAAATATATGTACTGGCTGGCCATTTCTTGGTTGTTTTAACTTCTATAGAATCATAAATTATTAGAAGACATGGCTTAAATGAAGCTCTTTTCAAGTACTCCCAGCTAACTTTCTAAAATTTTGGAATTTTCCCCATTTCCTCAAGCTCTTTGCTATGGAGAAATGCTTAATAGGGCAGTAGTACTTAGGGCATTTAGTTTAGATTTTCAAACCAAGCACAGATAGCATTGTAAAAACATAAAAGCCATAAGAAAGTACAAATTTGAGTCAGTTTCTTCTCAATTAGCTTTAACACTCTGAAAGCTAGGTCAACTAAATCTAACAGTACTTTTGGAGGATAAAACTGTGCAAAAGTACCAAAGGGATATATTGTACTTACTCCTGCTTCCTGCATACTTCTGAGCAATGAACAACTGGACAATTACCATCTGTTAACAGTAAAGACTAGCCTAGCTGCAGACCTCAGGATTCAAAATCTTAGTTTTCCAAGGACTTAAAAGTCAAGCGTTTCCTCCAAGCCTGAATTATCTCTCTGGTCAGAAATTCACTGCATCTTGCTAAAGTGAGTACAGGGCTTGAAAGGGGGGGAAACAAAACAAAAAAGCACATCAGTTTCACCAAGAAAGGGAAATCATGAGCCAGCAAAATCATAACCATGACTTTTGGCCTAAAGTTGAAAAGGTAGCTCTTCAAACAGAAAACAAACCTTTTCTCATAATGAGGTATAACCATGGCTGCTTTAGCTGTGCTCTTAAAAAAGACTGAGGATACAAATTATAATTTTAATTACAGTAACCTAAGTCTGTACTGGTTTCATAAAAATGAACTGGCGAGGGGCTTGATGGAAGTAAATACCAGTTTTTATTTCTGGAAACTGAAAGGTAATTTAAGTATCCATAATTTGATATTTTTAGCTAGTTCAGCTGTCAACTACCACAAGCCATGTTAGTCTCAGGTCTGCTTTACCTCCAGGCCACAATAGAACTACCTCTATATACATAAGCTGAAAGGCAAGAGGAGGCAAAGAACTTCACATAAATCTAATTCCTCCCATCTTATGTTTTCTTTTACTATTTATTTTTAGCCAGGTCAAAACAAATTCTTAGAATGTCAATATTCGTTTCTGATCCTCAAGAGCATATCTATAAAGACATGCTTAAAAATCATAGTGTAAGGGGGTTTAATTGCTTGGGTTTTTGTTTAAACAACAGTTATTACCTGTTATTTTGCCTGCTATACTTTTCCTTTCCACTGCAGTAAAAATTCAGTGTTTAGCTTGCAACTCAAAAATCCTAGATACAAAGAATGTTCATATTTACTTGTAAATTACTACTTTAGTAATTGGTTGCTTCATATTGATAGTATAATATACTTAATATAATTCAACAGGTATTTATAGAACTGAAGATTTTAATATAAACCTTGTTTTTAATAATTTTATATTTCAGTTAATAACAACGTTAAGGCAAGTCAAATCAAAGATTTAAAAATATTTTTTGCCTGAATTTACAAGTGGTATTTATTACTTTTAAGAATTACAATCTATAGACACATGATTTATAAAACCATGATTTTTCCTTTGGTATCTGGTTTTCCTTCACTACATTAAAGGCAAGCTTACTCAGCATTAGAACTACATTGTAGTGGAAACATACACACGGGCACCCTTTTATGAAAAACTTTTTAAAAATGAGTTATTATAATAGATGGATGCATTTCATTCTAGTTTGATGTCTAGTCTTCATAATTGGGCTAAGAAAATTGCCACTTAGTAAGATAATTTTTCCTTCATTTCAAAAATCAAACTGCTTTTATACACGGTGGTCAAAATTGTATGGTAAAAGACATGCAAGTTATGATTGTTACAATAGGTTTAACTCAAAAGAATGTCACAATGGCACAGTAAATCTACTTTTGTGCACCCCTGTATTTACCCAAACATGGTTCTCAGCCAGGGATGCGCATCAGAATCACCTGTGGAGTGATAGTTATACCTTGGCTTAAATCAGTGTTTCCCAAACTTTTGACATATGTGTACCCCTTCTATAATTTTTATAATGCTGAGTACCCCTCGTACTCATGAGAACATAGAATTAGGCGCAGTTACGCACAGTGCAGTGCATATCCCCACCAAACTCCAGTGCAACACGTACCCCCACCAAACTCTTCCCATACCCCTGGGGGTACGCGTACTACACTTTGGGAAACGCTGGTCTGAGGTAGGATCCAGGAATCCCTCATTTTAAAGAGGCATTAGGAATGATTTTATTGAAACCTGTACCCCCTTCCCATTAAGAAACATGCCTAAGATATTCTAATATAAAAATTTTAACCTTTACTAGGGTGTACTTCTTATGAAGTTTGATAATTTGGTAACATTTCAGTATCATGTTTATAATTAGGGGTCACAAATTGTAAGCAATGGGCATTATTATACATTTTGATAGGAATTATTGTTTAAATTAAGGAAAAAAGATCGGGGGTAGGGGTGGCTAGGAAAAGGTCAATGGGGGAAAAGAGATATATGTAATACTTTAAATAATAAAGAATTTAAGGAAAAAAGGAAGATCAGATATTCACCATTACCATTCTGCACAATTAACAGCAAACACTTCGATAGTGCTTACCACATGCCAGATAACTCCACTAAGCACTTTACACATATTAACTCATTCATCCTTATAATTTATTGAAACAAATTGTCCTACAGCTGAAAACTGAATCAAAGAGGAGTTATACACACAGGTAATAAATAAGGAAGCCAGGATTCAAACACAGCAGTCTGACTAGTCCTTACTCTTCTAATATGTTAATTTAAAAAGCATGTTATCTATGATTAATACTACAATTTTAAAGTTTACATATTTTGGGAACGTTAGAACTGGTCTTTTCTTCAACTGTCCAACAACAACAAAGTCAAATGTCAAGTTTTGAAAAGACGTACGCAACCATAGCTACTTGGGAGCCTTAAATGACTGACAGCACGATCTATCAGTTACTGAGCCTGTCAAGCCTTTCTTGATGGGAAATTACATCAAATTTTATAACAAAGCTTCATAAGACCAAGTGTTATATTTGATTTCAGAATATTGAGAGCTTAACCACCATCATTTGTAAAAAAGTATTGGTATTATGAGATGCTACTCATTAAGCATCTTCTCTGCTTTAACATGACACAAGACAGATACTCTCTTCAGAGTCTTAACTTTTAGTTTAGTCCAAAGATATATCATCCTGGTACCTCGGACTTTTCAGAGTCATGTCTAGGTCTTTTGACACTAAGGTTCCTGATCTCGTGCCACATATGCCTACTTTAAAAAATATATTTTATAGGCTATGGTCACCTTTACTCTTTTCTCCTCCTACTGCAAAGCCCTTCAGAAAAATAACGGAAAGGAAGGCTTATAGGGTCAATCAAACAAAGCACAAGTCTCAACATTAAGTTTGCCTACAAAAACACTAGGTGAGTGATAAACATAAGGTAATCTCATCAAAAAACATTTGGTGTGGCCACTCAATTATACCAAATGTCTGTCCTGTGGTTTTTCATTAAAAGGGTGCAAATGCAATCCTTCAAGGATACTGATTAGTATATTACAATTAATAATGAGAGTATTAGTATGTTTCATTTATAAGTTTTTCAAGCAAGTGGCCCTTTTTCTCCTGGAATTTGTACCTGGTATGTAAAAAAGTTTCACCTTTTTTTCTATCCTATGTACGCTACTCAGTGGTCAAAAACTAAAGGAAAAAGTTATCTCCTGGGTTGGGAGGTGGAAGGACAAGATGAAAAATTCTACCTCTCACCACTACTTCCTGAAAGTTTCAATTTACCAGAAGAATTAAAATACATGAAATAAAAAATTTTATTTTCCCCTTATAGCACAAGCCCTTAAAATTGGTTTGCCCTTTAGAATACAATTCTTTACGTCTAATAAAGGGGAGTAGGTAAGGATTTATTGAAACCTTTATCATAATCATTTTCTTCTGCAGAAATGACGTATGCAAGTACATTGAGGCTTAATCATTATCAATGCTGGGAGCTACGAGTAAGACTTTACCTTTGTCATAACACACCCTGGAGATTTTAAAAACATTTTATTTAATAAAAGTTAAACATACAAAAACTGAAATTAACACATCCTGAAAATCACTGACTTCCATTAACAGGAAGATACTTTTCTACGCATATATTTGGCTTAAACTCAACTCAGGATAAATATGATGTTCACTTACACCAGCAAATGCTGACAACTTGATCTAGTAAACAAAAATTACAAACTCAGCTACATAAACATAATATACAGGGGATTATGGTCAGATTAATGCACAAGAAATACAGTCAATTTTTAATGATGAAACATTTAGTACTCTTGTTCATTAATTTAGCCTTGGTGGTTCTTTTTCTTTTTTTTACAAAAATAGTATCTACACTGTATACAGGGCTATACATCAGCTTTTTTTTTTTTTTTCTTCTCATATAAACATTTCACATCCAAAAAAATGGTACCACTACCCTATGTGAAAAACCAACACAGGAGGGAGGAAAAAATTAGAAAAGGTAGCTGGTGCTAAAACATGGTTTTTTACATAAAACTAAAATTCAATGAAAAGAATAAAAGAGCTGGATACATTTTAGAGATGGCCTAACAGGCTTTAAGAAACAAGTTCTTGAAGGAAAAACCTGACAACAGAATTGGATTTTTACAAGTTAACTTATTTTTTAAGTTTAATTGGCCAATAGCTACGTTTAAGTTGAAGGTTAAGAAAAAATAAAAATAAAAAGATCTCTGTCAAGTTTGGTGTTCTGCCTTGATATTCCAGTGAATTGCTTTCTGAATATGTGGCAAGTTTTAAGGTACTGAAAGTTCCAGGTTAGGACTTTACAAAATGTATGGGGCCTGATATTAGGAAGATCAACAGTTCATCTAAGTGCTTTATTTAAGCAGCATCTACTTAGAAAAGTTGTGTTACCAACAAACTGAGGAAACTGGTAGTAGTAATGAAGCAAGTTAAATGAATAGCGGTTATCAAATGCAATTTCTTCAAGTTTCATTCTATTGAAGTCAAACAATGACAACAATGGTATTTTCCTTACTCATCTAACAAATAATTTACCTTTAGAAAAATATAAGGATAAAAAGGTAAATGTAAAGCCCTGCAGAGATGAAATCCAACAGTTTTTGTGATTATTGAGGCATCAAATGCCTGACATTGTATTTAGAGGTATCTTGATACTGTGTCATAGGTTTATCAGCAATTCCACAAGTTCCTACTCCAACTTTGCCAGTTACACTCTCAGGTGAAGCAAAAATACTCCTCTTTACCTAGGGGAAATGAAACAGAAACCATTCTTGATTAGTTTTGGAAATAACAAAAATTACAAAATATACATAAACAAAAATGTACATCATGGAACCCCAGTGCACTTTTAAATAAAATCTACTGATAATGTCCAGCATAAGGCATTTTAACAAAGCAAGTGTGGTACAACATACCCCCTTCTAAGTGGAAAAACAGCAAATAATTTTTCAAATTTTAGTTTATATAAGTGGGAAAAAACTAGTTATTTTGTAATTCCTGATATAAACTTTGGTTTTTGGTATTTCTATTGTAGAGACAGTGGCTAATGTAGATTTTTTTCAATAAGCCAAACTGAAGATTGAAGAGAATTCTGAATTTAAGATCATGTATTTTTAAAAACCTGTGTAACCTCCTTTTCCATTTTAATGACAGCTGCATTTTTCAAATTTACAAAATATGATGAAAGGATTTACTAACCTGGCCTTTTTTGTTTTTAGAATAGGCCCTGTTGTTGAATTGTTGCCATTTCACTTTCTGGTCCTCTCTCTCCTGCTCAAGTTCTTTTATTCTCTGTGCTTTTTTCAAAGCTTTCTTCTTTTTATATTCACGCTGCTGGGCAATCATTTCTTTTCTGTGTGGATATAACAACTAAATGTCAACTCTTAAAATTTAAAAGATGACTTTCTGAGGATATTTAGTAATACAAAAAAAAAAGAAAGAAAAAAGAATGAAAATGAATAAACTTATATACTCTCCTCATGAATAAAAGCACTAACATCATGCCAATGACCCAGCACTACTAATAAATGTTATTTGATATACTGTGCATACTTAGAAACTTTCAAACATAATAGTAATCTATTAAATATTTCAACTGACTTTTTAGCTGATGTTTAAATAGCTTTTGCCAGTTGTGTTTTCAGAATAAGATGAGTGTTACCAGATGTCTAAATCTTCTATCAATTTCTAAGTGGACAGTTAGCAAGTGTAAAATGCTGCATTTGGAAAAAGTGTATTAAGAGATTAGAGGAACATAAATCCCTATTTCATTTAGATTAGAAGAGCACAGAAGCACAATGGGAAATCAGAGCTAACAATTCTTAACACAAAAGCAACTGGGATTTTCAAAAAACAGTGAATAAGATTAGAGCCTAAAGCTCTCATACCCTGTTTCCCCAAAAATAACACAGGGTCTTATATTAATTTTTTCTCCCAAAGTTGCACAAGGTCTTATTTTCAGGGGATGTCTTATTTTCGGGGAAACATGGTAGTAAGTTCTGCTCAGTGAACACTGAGTTCTCAACAAAAAAGGATGGAGGAAGAGGTCTTTAAAAAGAGGTAATAAAGTCTAGACTCCTTTGTATCATGTAATCACCACTATGAAGCAAAGAGTGGCTTTTCATACAGATGTCAAAAATTAAAAAAAAGAAATGTCGTTATATAATCTGATTTTCTTATGGGATGCTTAAATCAAATGTAATTTTAATAGATGACAATTTTCTTAAATTCAAATATATTTATGTAGCAACTTAAGTTTTAAAAACTCTTTTGACAAATCCAAAAATGTAGATACTCTTTCCCTGTTTAACAGATGAAGAAACAAAAGATAGGCAGCTTGCTCAAAGTCATACCTTCTAGTGCATTAGCTGGCCAACTCCTTTTCTTTTCAGATCTCTGAAGTTTAGTTGTCATTTTTTCAAAGTAATTTGCCAAATGCCTAAGTGCAGTTTAGGTACCTGTTCTTTGTTCCCTTAAAGTACCTATTATGTTTCATTCACAAACTCAATCAGGACAAGGCCTAAGTTAGTTTTCTTCACTGCTGTGGAACCCCAGCATCTGGGTTAGTGATAATATACACAGTATCCACCAAATAAATACTAAATGCCTAAGTGGAAAGCCAAATGTCCTCACTTATTTGGCATACAAATACAGAGAATGAATGACCTTATATTGCTAATCTTCAAAATAATGGTAAGCAGTATTATAACCTCCTTATCCTAAATTAGCCTGCATAGATTCTGCACCACCTCAAATACCCAAATGGGGAAGATTACACTTAAAATGCTAAGAAGACACTTACTTGGACATGGGTTTGCTGCCACTGTCTTCCTTTGCCTTCCTTCCTTCTTCTACAGGCTTGAGGTTCAACAGTGGAGTCACTTCAGCATTTCCATAGCCAGCAAAGGTGATTGCAGCGGTGCCGTTTTCTTCATCTATCTCCTCAATCTCCGCTTCATAACACCTGTAAAGATATCATGGCTGTAAGCAGGTGAGTAAAGGTTTGGTACTCAGCCTACAAGACTTACACTGCAGTGATTCAACTATTACATGTGTCTAAAAATAAAAGTTCTGTAATCAAATGACACTTTGGCAAAGATAATACAAAAATGGTTGGAGTTAGCCATCTGGTATCATAAAAGGAATCCCTAATCAATATTTGCCAGGAAAGTCTCTTACACATCTATTAACTGTGCTTTAGTCAAGCTCTTTGAGGAAAGACATTTCTTATAGGAATAATTTCAGTGTATATACTTCATGGACATCTAAGACAGCCAACCATTCACTCAATTTTCAATTTGAGGAAAACACATTTAGATTATTTTTCAAAATATTTATTTTCCTCTGCTTTCAGTTTTCTTTCCTCTGGGATCTTAGCCATTCTTCTGCCCCAAAATTTAATCCAAAACTAAAAACTAAACTGTATTAATGGTAACCACCCAAGAATCAAATTGGCTCTATTAACCACATTGGCTATACAGAAAGATTAAAATAGGGTAGTTCGAACTGAATAAAATCATCTTACCATTGTATATTAATATTTCATGTTATAGTTAGTTTTTTTCTACACTTACTGTCCATCTTCACTCCAGATTGCCATACATTTGTCCCCTACTTTCCATGAATGCGTGGGCTGAGTAGAAGCAAAACAGTCTGAACTTGCAAGAGTTTCTGAAGGTTGAGTTGACAGAAGGTCTTTGGTTAGTTCTATAACTTCCTAAAAAGGAAAACCAAAAATCATAACATTATTTTTATGATTCATATTGTCACCTATTTTCAACAAGCAAATTTTCATTTTTTGATGATGGCAGCTCTCACCATATAGCACTTATGTACCCTATACATTTGCAGTTCATAATAATATTATAATGTATGTTCTATTATTATTCCCATGTGTAAACTGAGATACCGTATTTTTATACAGTGTGGAGCTGAGATTTAAAACCAGACAGTTGCCTTTCAACAATCTCAAAAACTAAGAGAAATAGAGTAGACTTGAGCTTATACCATGCATTATTTCTAAGTGTCAATTTTAACTGAACAGATATCTGCGAAGATGAGAAATAGTCAATTATGAAGGCCTGAGCTTATATCATGTCATATATGTATTTCATGACTATTATTTTATAGGGTGTTACAGTACTATTAACTGCCTAGCCAACATGCCCCACACCCTACAAGCCCTAAAACACTTGAAGCAGCTTCTATCTGTAGTAGTAAGAATGTCCCTGCTCCTACATATTTCTACTAAAATACTGTAGGTATATATAAAGAGCCATTAGTCTTCCTATTCATTTATTATAAAGCTAACCTCATCCAGGTAAGCAAATTACCATGTTAGATTGAAAATATCCCAATACCTTAATGTTACACATATTAGCACATCTTTATTTAAAAGGAAAATAAACAAACATTAACACACACAGGCAAGCAATATCTTTCTGTGTGGCAAATATTTTTTGTAACTCAGGCTTATACTTAGCAGCTTCATTCGAAGGTATGTGGGAGGGCTGGTAAAAAAAAAACCTCAAGGAATAGTACAAATGGGTAGATTGCTACATTTTTAAAATAGTACAAATTGATAGATCTATCACTTTACTCTAAAAACAATCCATATTATGTATCATCTTATCTGACTTAAGAACCTGCATATCTGTTCCCCTACTACTGCATACAAAATACCTTAAAACATCATGTGTTTTTTGGGAGGATAAAAATTACGAAGGTAAACTCTGTACTGAGTTTCTTCTGGCTCCTACTGAAGTTTTATAAATAGTAGTTCTGGTTCGGTAGCCAAGAAAGTTAAATATTACCTCTTGCCTAAGATTCTAAATCTTTCTGGCTATTTCTGAAAAACTAATATTTGAACCTAAAAATGGAGGGAATGTTAAGCTCTTAGAGAAAGATAATTTTGTGAATTAAATTTTGAAAATAAAAAATCTAGAAAACTCAGATTTAAAAATTCAGTAGAATAGTATCTTTAATGAAGTTTTATCAGGTGCCAAGTAGCCATTCACTTAATTAGATGAACTTTTCCATATAAAGCAAAGAACTTCCAAATAAATCAATCATGTACTATACAAAGGAGAGTAAATTATCAGTCCTGTTTTTAATAAACCACTTTAAGGGCCAAGAATGTAATATAATCTAAGCCTGACTCAAGAGCCCCATATAACCTCTATCATTAAATAATTCCATCTGACTAGGAATGATCATTTACCTACTAACGCACAAATATGAATTCTGCATTTGTAGGTTTAAGATTTAGAACTCTACTATTTTCTTAGGATAGGTCTATCCTATTTCCATAAGAAAATACATTTCCACCGAAGAAAAGGGTCCTAAAAGTTATAATTTTCAGAGCCCTGCACGGAAATAACTTTTTAAAAAATCCACAGCATTTATCCCTAGTTTTCCTTTTATTGTGCCATATTTTACATACCCCACCCAACAAACTATGAAGACCCTATGGACCAAAGTATTAGAAACTATTTTATGTATGAGGGGGTTCTTAAAGGTTCATACCATTAATTACTTTTCCTCCCCCAAGTCTGAGTTCTGAAACTGCTCCTTCATTGACAGATGGGCAGCAGTTACAGTAATCGGCAATTCCAGGAAGCATCAGATGTTGTGATCTACATATCAGCAGGTCAAAGGGGTTGCACTCAAGCACTCTGCTTACTGAAGGAAGGCGTTTCGGGGATGCAGAGAGCCACTGTAATATATGAGACAAGTGATTTGACCCCTGCCTCCTTTAGAACCAGTTTTATTCAGCAAAATAGCTTAATAAATTGACTATTTTTGTGATTATCATAGACTGCTTGGGGAGCTAGTCAGCTAACTACCCTGGACTTTACTATACCCACTTTTTTAAGTGAAAAAAGAAAGGCAATTAGAACTTCAGTAGATCAATTTGCTGCCTGCTGAGTTAACTTTATTCTATAGAAAAGACAGTATATATAAAGATAAAAATGGAAGCCTTACTGGCAAAATGGAAATCATTGAAAAAATGCAGAAAGAGTATTTGTCACAAGTGAAAGGGCAAATTCATAACCAGAATAAGACATTCCATAAGAGAAACACAAGAAAACAAAGGAGGCCACAAACTCAATCAGTTTGACCAGACTTTTCAACAAACATAAAAGGCAGTATTAAGTATCAATGACCTGAGGTATATCCCAGAAAGCAGAAAAGAAAAAAGAATCTTAAATCCATGCTAAAAAGAAGCTGTAACTAGTCAACAGAGACAACAATTATAGGTAGAAGCAAATATCCAAACACTTACCAGAATTTTATCTAATCTTAAATGATGTCTTCCATCTTTCAGTAGTTTTTAGTTTACACAGACCTAAACCTAGTAACCAAAATGATTTTTTCCCTCATGGTAGACTAAGAGGAAAAGAAACTGATAAGGTTTAATCAGGAAAAACATTCTGTATGGCTATCCGAAGTGTTAAAACTTAAGCTTCTAAATTTGTGCCATCCAATAAGGTAGTCACATGGGCTGTTAATTGCATTAAATTAAAGATTCAGATTTTTAGACACCTGAGCCATATTTTAAATACTCAATAGCCACATACGCCTAGTGACTCCAGTATTACACAGCAGATACAGAACATTTTTATCATTTCAGAAAGTTCTATTATATAGTGCTGAGCCCCCCAGGGCATTTGAATTCTTACTACAAGGCCTATCAGAATTCCCACTACAGATCATGTCAGTATAAGGCAATTCTGTTCAGGTTCTGACAATTCTAGAAATATTAAAAAGACCTCATAATCATGCTGTTTCAACCTTCATCCCAACTTCCCCTTGATCAGTTCTGCACAGACCCTTTCTCCCATTGCCCAGGAAGCAATATTACAACATTGCACACAATGTTTCTTTTTTATTTATTTAAAAAGAAAAAAAGAAAAAAGGACTGCTTTAAAATTGATAAACGATGGGGCGTGCCAGGATCTTTCCAGGAGGCAAAAAGTTGTCCTGGGAGTGGGAAAAATTGCTCTCCAAACATCTCTTCCTTACTGACTAGCATCCTAAAATCTACTGGCCTGACTTCTACAAATTTTCTGTTTTTAAAAAATAACATACCAGGTAAGTTTTGTTCAGTGATTAGAGAGTCAACCTGGGGACTGAAGTGCCTCAAATTCTGTTTCCGGTCAAGGGCACGGACCTAGGTTGCAGGTTTCCCAGCTCCTGTAGGAGCTTGTGCAGGAGGCAACCAAACAATTCATCTCTCTCACATGTTTCTCTTTCCTCCCTCCCTTCCACTTTCTGTAGAAATCAATGAAAAAAAAATAACCTCAGGTGAAGAATAAAAACAAACAAAATAAATACCATAGCAACTTCATTGGAGTTTATCCTAAATCTAGAATTTAAACCTGAAAATATTCAATATCTTAATTATGCCCACATAAGCGCTTTCAGAATCCTGAATCCGGATTCCATGTCAATTTTCATTTGTTTGCAGTTCTAATATTCTTAAAATATTAATAACTTTAAAGGGCAAAAGATGATAGAGGGAAAGAATTACTTAGATAAGACAAAGATGATTCAAGTTTTGTACTGAATCAGTCAAGAAAGAGCATCTAATCAAAACACCTTTTAAAACTTTCCAAAACATCAGGTTCAAAACTTTAAGTCTCAAATTTGTTAAGAGGAAAAATCATATATTTACAAATCTTTTTATATGGAGTTTTTATTAATCAACTTAGTGTTCTGAGAAATAATATTTACTATTATGACTTCATTTGTCTTGAGACAACCCCTGCCCAGCACAGGATTTTAACAGCAGGTGTCATACATACTGAACTCTCTCATGACAAACAAAACAAGTTAGGATCCCTTTCACATAGATTCAATTTAACTTCAACAAGTGTCAACAACTACACTGTTAAACCTACCCTTTGAGTTCAAACATTTAGTAACATTTATGCAGAAAACAAATTATCTTTTATGTTTTTATAATGTGCTTTCAATACAAAGTGTTACCTGCTAGCTTTGATACACACAAATACACTCTCATTTTCTTTTTTCTTTTTCTTTTAAATATTTTATTGATTTTTCACAGAGAGGAAGAGAGAGGGATAGATAGTTAGAAACATAGATGAGAGAGATACATCGATCAGCTGCCTCCTGCACACCCCCATAAGGGATGTGCCCGCAATCAATGTACATGCCCTTGACGGGAATCGAACCTGGGACCTTTCAGTCCGCAGGCCGACACTCTATCCACTGAGCCAAACCGGTTTCAGCTACACTCTCATTTTCAAAGACTTGTGGCATTAAAAAGAATCTTGATCAGGTTTTATTTTTTTCCTTTAATTTTAGTTACTTTTTGAACTAAATTTCCTTGTCCAGGTCTTTAAATGTAAAAGCACTTTCCACTGTAAAGTTATATATCTCTCTTCTCTAGTAATTCTGACAGACTTCTAAAATCACCTTTTTGTTATTATTATTAAACGAGCACACAAGATTTACATAACTAAGGATAATGCTTCACTCATTTTGATGTATGCAAACTGAGGAAACAACTCCCCTTTACAAGCCACGAATATACACAAAGGGAAAGGGTCAACACCACCTCCGAGGGGTGCCTTGGACATCTATAGATTCTAAGCAACAAATCATTTGAAAAAGACAGAACTACTCTTTTTGAATAATGTCGCTATAAGTGTCCCCTCATACTTACTTGTAAATCTTTTTTTAATTTTAGCAAATCTTCATTTTCTCCATTTCCAGACAGGGCAGCTTCAACTTGCTGGAGCTGAGCTTTGTAGCTTGCCAGCTGTTTTGCTAGATCCTCTGACATCTAGAGGGGGAAAAGGGCAAGACCATGAAAACTGAACAAAAAACCCCACAAACATTGCCCTACCCAGTTTTGCTCAGTGGGTAGAGCCTCCGTCCACAGACTGATGGGTTCCCGGTTGGATTGCAGTCAAGGTTGGGGGCTCTGATCCCCAGCCCATGGGGAAGGCAACCAATGGATTTGTCTCTGTCACATCCATGTTTCCCTCTCCCCGTTCCTTCCACTCTCTCAATAATAATAATAATAATAATAATAATAATAATAATGGAAAAACACCCATGGGTGAATATAAACAAAAACAGAAAAATACAAGTGGTGCCTCACACAATGAACTTAATTCGTTCCAGGAGCAAGTTTGTTATGCGAAAAGTTCGTTATGTGAAACGCGTTTTCCCATAACAATACATGTTAAAAAAAATAATTCGTTCTGTAGCATAAAATATGCTAAGATGACATAAAAAAAGATAAATTTTTTGTTATTATTTTTATTTAGATACATCTAAAAACATAATTTTTTTTAAAAAAAACACACATTTTTTTAATTTTAAGACAGACTAAGTAGAGTCTACCGAATCTTGAACATCTTCATCCATTTTCTGCTTTTTGGCCGATGGTTTCATGAAAAACCTGTCCAAAGTCGTTTGTTTTTCTCTTTTCTCCAACATCTGCCGGAAATAACGGACAAGAGTATCGGAGTAAAGATCGTTGATCCTGTTTGCTTCAGCTGAATCCGGATAGTGGGCATTGGTAAACTCCTGAACTGCTTTCCATTTGACCAGGATGTTCTTGATGTCAGCAGTTGGGATTGGTTGATTGTTTGATTGTTGCTCCTCGTTATCAGATGACGCTTCCCTTTGAGCATTGTCCTGTTGCTGGACCAGAAGTGCTTGGAGCTCTTCAGTTGTCAGCTCTTCTTCGTGTTCCTGAATAAGCTCCTCTACATCATCTTCCTCTTTTGTAATGAAGGTTCTGCTCGGCATTCTTTTCCAGAAAAGACCCATTTCATCGGCATTGAACACTTGTGGGCAGTATCCTTCATCCTTAATACATTTTTGAAAGTTAATAGAGAACTTTTCTGCTTCTTTCTTGTCAGCACTGCCAGCCTCACCATGCATAGTAACGCTGTGGATTCCACACCTTTTCTTAAATCTAAAAAACCACCCCCTGCTGGCTTTGAATTCTTCTTCATTATCTTGATTGCTGCTACTTCCAGGGACGTTTTTCTTTAGATCGTCATAAATTCTCTTGGCTTTGTGACAGATATTATTTTGGGTTGTTACGTCACCTTTCACCTGCCTGTCCTTAATCCAAATTGCTAATAGCCTCTCCATTTCCTCGTGGATTGAAGACCTATGTTTTTCATGAAATAGTTTTGATACTCCTTTGGCTACTTTGGCTGATTTGATTGCATCCTTATTTGTCAAAATGGTGAAAATGGTGGTCTTGCTGAGGCCAAACTCTTTGACGAGGTCACACTGTTTTACCCCACATTCACTCCTTCTAATTATTTCCTGTTTCATTTCAACAGAAATCACCTTCCTGCTTTTTTTAGAAGCCATGATATAAAAAAAATATTGAGTTTAACTTAAAAGAACGACTGCCGTGATACGTGCATGATTTAATTCGTAATGAAGAACGATTGCCGCGATACGTGCTTAAGTTAAGCGCAGTGACTAACGACTGCCTGCAGTGCCTGCGCGGAAGGATGCAATACATCGGCAGCAATCGTGGAAGCTCGGGCGAAGCAGTCGTGGAAGCTCGGGCAAAGCAGTCGTGGAAGCTCGGGCGACTTCGTTGTGTGAAACGAAGTTCGTTGTGTGCAGCATTCGCTGTGCGAGGCGTTCTTTATGCGAGGCACCACTGTATCCTCAGATGAAGACTACAACAAAAAAGCCCACATTTTTTTTTTTAAATTCCATCTCCTGAATTAACCTTAAAATTTTTGCTCCCAACTCATTGCAGCTTAGTTTGTCACCATCACCTCTACTCTTAGTTCAGAGAAAAGCTAATGAGGGAACAAGAGAAATCCCAATGTTCTTTAAACTCCTGTAATAAGGAAAGCACTGTGCTTGGTTCATTTAAAAGTATTATTATAGACATCCTCTTGACAATAAGATACGAGGACATCCTTTCCCGGTGTGTAAGCACCCGCCCGGGGCTTCAGGGGACCCTTCTCCGTCTCACAGGTGCCGTCCGACCCCAGGCTGAGACCTGGGAGGGCCCCCCAGGGGAGAGCGCGGGCCGGCTGCCCTCCTCCCGTCCACCCGCCACCTCTCCGCTCGCCACAACGTGGCCGGCTGCCTCCGACCTCGAATAACTCAAACACCAGCTCCCGGGGAAACCGAGCGGACGCCCGCGGTGCGGGACCCCACACACCCAGACAGGCTCCGCCGGAAACGGCCCGGCTTGCCCTTCAGAAGCCTCCCGCGTCCCAACCCCACCCGACGGGTTCCGCGGCTTAGCCTCGTTCGCCGCCGCGGCCCAGAGGCCCCGGGCTGGGTGGGAAGAGGAGGCCGGAGCTCCCGACACGGTGGCCGGCGGCCAGGCCTCTCCGGCGCGGCCGGCTCCTCGGCCTCGGGCCTCCCTTCCACTCGGGAGAGGCCGCGGCCCGGCGAGGCCCCACTCCTTCCCTCCCCACCAGCTTTCTTACCTTGTGTGGGGTCAGGGTCGGGGCGGCGGGAAGGGGTCGGGGCAAAGGAACCCAGGGGTGGCTGCGGCAACAGTGGCAGCAAGAAAAATCTCCGCGGCGACACCAAGGCGGCGACTCGGAAAAGAACTCGGTCGGCGGTAAGGGGGAGGGGAGGGGAGCCCGGTACTGGGAGGAGGAAAGACAGAGGCGGGTGAAGTCTCGCGAGAGTTAAGAACCATCGCGAGGCGCCGCCCGAGTCACGTGATTCGCGGCGCCCAATAGACAGCCCGCCCCTCCTTGCGTTGGGGACGCCGAGTGGGCGGGGCTTAATGGGACGGAAATGATGCCACTGGGCTGCGCCTGGCGCTGAGCGCAGGTTCGTCTTTCCAGTTCCGGATGGGAGTCGGGGCGGGGGAGTCGTGGGGTTCTTTGGGGACTGGGTGTTGGCGTCCTGCTTGAGGTTTCCTGGGTGTTCCTGGCGCGTTCCTCCTTCGGCGAGCAGCGTCGGGAGATGGGAGTAACGGGGTTTAATGCAGCCATCGTACTAGCAGTGGGTTCTCAAAGTGTGGTCGTCCGCTCAAAGTGTGAGAACCACCGCTTTTTATAATGAAAACCTCAGTGCTAATAAAAAACTCAGTTGTGGCGGGACCTATTGGAGATGTACTTATTTAAAACCTATTTTGTTAGAACAGATGTGTTTTAAATTAATTACGTAGGTTGTATCTCGCTTGATAGAGAACAGTCTCCAAGTTCTAGTCTTGAGTGATAAACAGTGGTGTGACCATTTTCATTTATGTTTAAAGAGGAACGTGGCGTGGCTCTTTAGTTGAGTGTCCACCTAGGAGCCAGGAGGGTCAGGGCACCTGCCGGGTTGTGGGCTTAATCCCTAGTGTGGACGTGCAGGAGGCAGCTAATCAATGATCCTCTCTCATTGATATTTCTATCTCTCTCTCCCTCTCCCCTCTTTGAAATCAATAAAAAATGTATTTACAAAAAAAAAAAATGTGGCCCTAGCCAGTTTTGCTCAATGGACAGAGCATCAGTCTGCGGTCTGAAGGGTCGCGGGTTCGATACCCATCAAAGGCCCGTGTACCTTGGTTTCAGGCTGAGTCCCTAGCCTGTCAGGGCGTGGAGGAGGCAACAAATCAATGGATCTCTCTCACATCGATGTTTCTCTCTCTATGTGTGTCTCTTCCCCTCCCACTCCAAAAATAAATAAAAGATTCTCAAATGAGGATTAACTACAAAAAAGGGGAATGTGTATGAAGTGGGTGTGTTTCTCATAGTATATATCATGTTACTTCTGAACTGTTACACAAACCTACCTGGAGATTAGGATATAACTTTTTTCCAATTAGCTATAAAATAAATAAATAAATAAAGATAAAGACCAGTGACACAAAAAGGCCAGAAAAGAACTTTCTCTGGGAGATTGGGGTCTGTTGCTACAAGGCCCTCTTCTCAGGTGGGCTAACTCTTTTGGTCTATAACAGCTTTGCCTTAGTGCTGTGGTCAGCAAACTGCGCTCACGAGCCACATGTGGCTTTTTGGCTCCTTGAGTGTGGCTCTTCCACAAAATACCACGGCCTGGGCGAGTCTATTTTGAAGAATTGACATTAGAAGTTTAAGTTTAAAAAATTGGCTCTCAAAAGAAATTTCAGTCGTACTGTTGATATTTGGCTCTATTGACTAATGAGTTTGCCGACCACTGCCTTAGTGCCTTCTTAGGGGTGGGTTTGTTTGTTTTGAGGGGATCTTCCCATTTCTTCTCTACTTACACACACATATCCCTCATATTGAGTCATAGTCTACAGAGATGGCAATTTGTGATGACTGGAGTGGCAGTTTGCAAGAATTGGAAATGCTGCAGAGGGCAGCAGTATGCAGCTAGCTTTACAGGGAAGACAAACCAGAAAGGATGAACTTTTCCTTAATTTATAGTAGAAGTTTGTTTAAAATACAGTGTAGTTTTTGACAACTGCTCTTATTCTAATTGTGTATTATTAAAATTAACCCAGAGGCTTTTCCTTGAATATAAAATAAACTTTTACAGTAAAAATGTAAAAATCTCTCAAATAACAACTCTTCATAAATCCTCTAGATGAGAAATATTTATTATAAACTCCAGTATAGATTTCTTTCTCATATGGATATTTTTTTTCGTTTTTTTTTCAGGATTGCTTTTAGTCTATCTCTCTGTGCAACATAGGTTATATTTGGTGTGTGTGTGTGTGTGTGTGTGTGTGGAGGGGAAGCTATCTTAAATTTTAGTTTCTCACAAAGAAATGGTAACAGTTGTATATACAGTGCCATTTTTACGTGTATTCATTTCATTTTCACAATGATTCTATGTGCTATTAAAGACAAAACTAGAGTAAATATAAACTGATTTAAGTGTGATACTTCAAATAGGTGTTCTGACTTCCCGTTTCCTTTGAAATCTACTTTTAGTGTCTGATTTTTAAAAGTCTCTTTCAGCCTGGCCAGTGTGGCTCAATGGTTGGGTGTCACCCTATGAACCAGGAGGTCAGGGTTTGATTCCAGGGTACAAACAACAGACCCCGAAGCAGGTTGAGGGCATGCAGGAGTCAGCTGATGAATGATTCTTTTTCATAATTTATGTTTATATTTCTGTCTCTCTGAAATCAATACAAATATATTTTTAAAAATTCTCATTCAAATTTAGTCATGTTTATTCTTCAAAAAGAGCAATCTAAAATATCTAGTTCTTTAAACCTAGTATTTATTTTAGTGAAACTCAGTAGTAAATAAAAGTTAAAAACTCCAAATTGTCATCAGAGTATACTATTACACTTTTACTTATCTTTCAAAGAAAACATTTAAACTGCTAACATGAAAGTATAGCAGTTGCCTTTGGAAATGTGCCAGTACACTGCAGGGCACAATACACTAATACAGTCCATGTCAGCGGTCGCCAACTGGTGGTCCGTGAGGTCTGAAAGGTTGGCGACCGCTGGTCCATGTGGCATTCCTTCCTGACTAAGCGTAGCCCCAGGTTTGCCCACATACTTTTTGTTTCTTCAACAAATGCCCGAGGATTTGAACTAGAGATGTGTACACAGTCATAATTGCTCTTTGCTCTCCTTAGTCATAGTAGGTATTTTGAATGTTTGGATGGAGATTTGCTGTAGGGCAAGCTACTGGCTTTTTGTGCTTACTGATTATTTGGGGGTACAGTGTCTTGAAAACATATCCTTGGATAACTTGATGGAAAAACAACCTTAAATGGCTGCTGACCAAAGCAGGTGCTCACCAAAGCATCCTGCTTTGTTCACACAGGTCTGCATTGCCTTGCCAGTCTCGGGATGTGCATTCCCAGCTGTTCTGTTTTCTGTGTACCACTAGAGAACAGAAAACTGCCACTGGAGACAGAAAGCAAGGATTCTTCCAGCTTGGAAAAGGCTATGATCAGAGGCTTTACGAGGATCAGAAATGTCAGGGCCATTCACAGTTCTTTAGACCCTGTATGAAAATGGTATTTAACAGTACTTTTACATACAAGAATGTATGTATGTGGGCAAAAGAACAAAAACAAACTCACGTCACAGATGTATTGCTAATAGTACAATTGATAATGTAATTTTGAAACTTCCATGTCTAGTATAGATAAAATATATAATATATGTATGCTAGTTAAAACTCTTAAGAGGAAAGAAAAGTAGAAAATAGAGTTTTTTGGGGGGAAGCCCTCTCATGACATATGTGATGTAATGTTACCCCAGTGGAGAGTGCCCAATATCTTGATATCTAGATACTGTAGCCCACAAAATAAACAGCATTTCTCCAAGAAGTGATTGATTTCAGGTCTCAGGCCCAGAAAGTATAAACATGAGCCTGGAACATCTTTCCAGAAAGCAAGGAAGTGCCCCAAAACTGGTAGAATCAAGTCAAAAGTTCACCGACTAGCTATTAGCCAGGTGTGAATCAATGAGTCTTAAAAACATAACGACTGCCATAATACTATCAAAACGTTGAATATATTTTTAGAATCCATAAATTCAAAGTGATAATCAAAATAAAGGTGGGGGAGGGATTTTTTTTTTCTTTCTAGGGGAGTGCCAGGCAAAAAATGGATTGATAGAATTGGAAAAATCACCATGTGCAGTCCCCAGTGACTTAGGCATAGGTTAGCCGTAGAAGCTAAAACCCATCTTATAAAAGGAGATAGGGAAAAGGAGGATGTTTGCATAGTATCACCCCACAGAGTAGTTAGTAATTACAAAGGGGAATATACACCATTTAACAAAGAAATTCAAATCACCAGCTCAACCTAGCGATCATACTTACCACCACTAATGTGGAACAACCTGACTGTAAAGGCCTCTTGCTTTGATGCAACATTGCATAACAGCTTCACCTGTGAAGAAGCCTTGCACAGAATACTTAACCTGAATACCATCAAGTCTTTTGACCCAACTTCCGGTTTACAGGACATACAGGGGTAGAGGAACAAGTAAAATGACCCTGAGGGAAAACTCAGGCATGTCCAGAATGTGGGACATTCCATAAGAAAGCTGACCTAAATTCTTCAAGTCAATATTATTAGCAATAGTGGACGACTGTTCTAGATTGAGACAAAAGACATATCAATGAAATGCCATGGGTCTCATCTTGGAAAAAAGAAGCTATAAGAGAAAATTTGAGGATACTTTAGGAAATCTGAATATGAACTAAATATTAGATGACATTGAATAGTTAATTTTATTAACTGAAATTTACATAAGTTAATTACAATGTCCTAGTTAAATATTTAGGGATGCAGTACTATAACACCTGTAACATACCTTCAAATGGTTCAGCCAAAAAATTATATAGAGTTGTACAAAACTCATGTGTATATGAATATATATATATATATATATATATATATATGTATTTGTATGGAGAGAGAATGAATAAAATGTGGCAAAATGTTAATCACTGGAAGAATATATGTGTTCATTGTACTAGAATTTCCACTTTTCTGTATGTTTCAAATTTTTTCAAAGGAGAAAGATGGAGAAAAGTGTTCATAGACTAGCTAGAATAGTTTTGAGGGGTGTTGTATGTTTGGAGAATGATGGGTAAAGCAGCAGATAGTTAAGGGGAACTAGGAGCTAGCAGTAGCTTAACTGAGAAGTAATAGGGAAGATTATAGAAGCCTATGAGTGGTTGTCAGAAACAAAAGGCTGTAAAAAGCCAGATGGGTCAAGGCTTAGCAGGAAGATGTGGGCAGTGGAGGCCGAAGCAGTCACAGGATCTCTTTGAAGGCCAGGAAGGAAAGCATGAGAAAGAATTACTTTGATTTCCCCACATTCAGGAGAGACTCCAGTAGGCCTTGTCCTCTGATGTGGTGACCAGAGCTTTTTAAAATTTTTTTGGCCCTTAATAGCCTCCAGCAGTAGTCGTAAGATGATCTTAAAAAAAAAAAAAAATATATATATATATATATATATATATATATATATATATATATATGTGTGTGTGTGTGTGTGTGTGTGTGTGTGTGTGTGTATTTCAGAGAGGAAGGGAGAAAGAGAGAGAGAGAGAGAAACATCAATGATGAAAGAGAGGCATTGATCTGCTGTCTCCTGTCTCCTACACATCCCACACTGGGGATCAAGCCTGCAACCCCAGGCATGTGCCCTGACTGGGAATTGAACCGTGACTTTCTGGTTCATAGGTCAATGCTCAACCACTGAGCAACACTAGCCGGGCCTTAGATGGTCTTTTAAAACTGGAGTTAATTGGATTCATCCATATCACAGCCCCTGAAAGTACCTTTCGTATCTGGATGTTTCCATACGTTTACGTCACCAGTTTATTTATGCTAGAAAGTTTATTGCAGAAAAAGCCTGGAACATTCCACATCACCCTTATTGTACAGTAAATAATAGAACACTCTTTTTAAAAAAATATATATTTTATTGATTTTTTACAGAGAGTAAGAGAGAGGGATAGAGAGCCAGAAACATCAATGAGAGAGAATCATTGATCAGCTGCCTCTTGCACACCCCATACTGGGGCTGTGCCCGCAACCAAGGTATATGCCCTTGACCGGTATCGAACCCAGGACCCTTCAGTCCACAGGCCAACGCTCTATCCACTGAGCCGGTTTTGGCAGAACACTTTTTTTTTTTTTTTTAAAGGATACTTACATCAAACAACAGGTGGTAGGGGATATATGTTCCCAAAGGTAAAGAGGAAACCAAAATGAGACCCAGAGTTTTGCCCCATTAAGACTATTGGTCCATAGTTTGATATAGTCGCATTTAGCCATTTTATTGCTTACAGGGTCAGCAGTTGAAAACAAAACAAAACAACAAAACAAAACAAAAAAATTTCCAAAATGGAGACCTTAATGCCCAAAGAGCCCGTTAGGTGGCAGTGGGGACACAGGCATCTTTTGATGTCTGATTCCCCGCCCCGCCAGAGATAGAGCTTCAGTGAAGGAACATTGCCATGCAGCTTTGTGGGGCAGAAGACAGGGAAAAACGAACAGCCCAAAAACTATGGTTTATAGAGTCCAAGAAATGAAGAACTGATCGTCACCTGTATCAACTCCTATTCTTGCTTTTGACATACTCGGTTTTTTCTGTTGTTTTTTTTTGTCTTTGCTATGATTCTTTTATCCAGAGTCCTTTAGATCACTTGTGCGAAGTATGGCTCATTGTGTTCAAAACCCCACTACCTTTAGTATGGGTTTTTATATCAATAGCAACAGCCTCATTCTCTCTAATTAGTGCTCGTGACAGGCTGTGTGTGGGCCTGCTACATGTGATAGGTTAGGGTTCCAGGGAAAAGTACCCTGAGATTTCTGTGCACCAGGTTTGTTGGGTAATGCTTTTGGGAACAGCACTGGACACAGGGAGAAGTTGCTTCGAAGCATATTGCAGAAGAGGCCTCAGCCAATCCTCTAGGAGCTATGGAGCTGGGATGGCCATTCAGACATGCCAGCCCCAAATGATCAGCCAATAGATGCAGGCTGCCCTTGTGAAGGGGCTAAGAGCAATTAATTGGACACTGCCAGCCACCAACACTCCCTATGTCTAGGAGAATGAGAACCTCCATCCGAAGGGGGGAATCTGGGCAGGGTACCACAGCATCCACTATTTTTGGAATCTCTGATGCTGCCTGTCTTGCAGAAGATACCCACATTAGAAACTCTGAAACAATGTCACCTTCTCAGTCTTGTTTTCCTAGCATTAAAAGCTAATGGAAAAATACCTCTGCGCTTCCTGCAGATGACATCATGTTTGTTTCAAATTGGTTTCTGATATGTATGTGTATATATATATATATCAATATATATATATATATATATGAAGAGCTTGCTGAGGCATGAGCATCTTAGGTACAAAAGACGAAGCATTTCCTCTGTGGAAGAAAGCTCCAAAAATTTTTGGCACAATTTGATGATTATTTATTACAACATATCAAAAGCCATTAGAGTGAATTTTATGTATTTTTAAAGAGGGATAAATCATATTTTCTGAAAATAGCCTAGTTGCAGGAAGAAAATGCATAATCAACTATTAGAAGTTTTAAAATTTATATTTTTGCCTGACTTTGTTGCCTTTTGTATTCTGTGACACTGAGGCTCTTCCTCACTTTCTGCCAGTTTCAGCTACAAGAATCACTTTCCCCCTTATACAGTAGCCATTTGACTAACTCTACCACCTCAGTGTCTTCTGGATGTATGTATTCCCTCTTCCCTGCTGTAGTCAGGCTGCCATCATTTCTCACCTGCTTGATGCAATAGACTAAGAATGGAATTCCTTCTCTGAGATGCATCTTCTACACATGGCTGCCAAATTGATCTTCTGGAAACGCTAAATATGCCTACTACACCTACCTGTTAAAAAATCTCAACTTGTTAGCCCACCATATAAGGCCATTCTATCTAATAAAAGAGTAATATGCAAATTGACCATCACTCCAATACACAAGATGACTGCCCCCATGTGGTCAAAGATGCTGCCACAAGATGGCCTGCAGGAGAGGGCAGTTGTGGGCAGTTAGGGATGATCAGGCACAGGAGGGTAGTTGGGGGTGACCAGACCAGCATAGGAGGGCAATTGGGGAAGACCAGGCCTGCAGGGGAGGACAGTTGGGGGAAACCCAGGCCTGTAGGGGAGGGGAGTTGTGTGTGTGGTGGGGGAAACCAGGCCAGCAGAGGAGGGCAGTGGGAGGAGAGCAGGCAAGCAGGGGAGAGCAGTTGGGGGGGGGGGGGGGGGGAAGACCAAGCTTGCAGGGGAGGGCAGTTAGGGGGGGACCAGGCCTGCAGGGTAGGACAGTTGGAAAGGGTGGAACCCAAGCCTGCGGGAGAGGGCAGTTGTGGGCAGCTAGGGGTGACCAGGCCAGCAGAGGAGAGCAGTAAGGAATGACCAGGCCAGCAGGGAAGGGCAGTAGGGAGCAGCCAAGCCTGCAGGGGAAGACAGTTAGGGGCAGCCAGACTGGCAGGGGAAGGCAGAGGTGACCAGGCCCTCAGGGGAAGGCAGATAGGGGCAATCAGGCTGGCTGGGGAGCAGTTAGGCTCTAGGCAGGTGAGTGGTTGGGAGCTAGCAGTCCTGGATTGTGAGAGGGATCCCAGATTGGAGAGGGTACAGGCTAGGCTGAGGGACACCCCCATCCCACCCCCCACCCGCACCCCATATATTAATTTCGTGCACCAGGCCTCTAGTTAATGATATGGCCAGTCTGTTTTTTGGCCTGAGCGCGACCACATACATACTCCATGTACAAAACTGCCCTGCTCTCCTGCTCTTTCTCGCCTTACTGGTTGGCCTCTCATTCTTTTCCCTGCTTCCCTGTCTGAAAGAATATCTTTAATGGCCCAGTTCCAGTTAAACATTGATGACTGCTCATCAGTGTTCACAGGTGAACACCTTGCTTCTCTCTCCTTCAGTATTTTTGCATCTAGTAAGAGCACCCTAGACTGTTGGGGTTTAGGACAGAGTTCCTCTAGGCATTACATCCAAAGGGCCAGGGTGACATCTTGTTCTTTTTTGCATCTTTAACACTTGGCAAGGTGTCCTTGGCACTAGTAGAATTGAAAACATGGGAGAAGCCAACTTTTGATAGCAGTGAACATTATATTTGACTTTGGAGAATAGTCTAAAAATTTCTTATAATTAGTTGTATTTCTCTGACACATGATATCAGTTCCTTCGTAGGTTATTACTGTAGTAAGATGCAAGGCATTAATGTTTTGAAGCATTTTATTGGTGGGGAGAACTTTTGATTGATTTTAATTAACAGTGTCTCTCTTTCCAGGCAGTTGACATGTGTGTTTGCTGGTAAGGATATATACAGAAAAAAACAGGATTGTAATAGCTTGATTATGAGCGATTTAATCAGTGTATCTTTGTGTGTTTTTTTATTTGTGATTAGCTGCCTAATTTGATGCTTTCTCAACAGGCAGAGGGAAATAGAACTAATAAACCCAGCAGTTAATGGAAGAACAAAATTCAAGCAACTGAGACAAGAAAGTGGCTACAATTTATAGATCTACGTGGCCATTTGTCTTGTGGTTTATGAAGAGTATTGAACACGGGGCCCATGTTCATTTACTCTCTTTGCTATTGCTTGTGAAGTGCCTAGGGTAAAATCATGTTACTTTTTCTGTCTCATCTGGGAGAAAAAAAACAAAACAGGATATTTTCCTATATCATAAGACAAACAAGTTAATGTGACTATAATAGCTGCTTCTAACAGTTTGTGAGCCTAGATTAAATGGCCATGAGCTCTTTTGGTTATAATTGACATTCTGTCTCATCTTACTGTTTTTATTCTGCATTTCTCTCAGATCTCTATCTTGTGATCAAAGGAAGACATGTCAACATGCTTGCCTACCTGTGGAATAGCACGCTGGACCTGGGATCTGTCGTTCTACCATGGATTCTGCCTCTCTCTAGCTGTGAGGCTAGCCCATATTAGTCCCCTAATGGTAAGCTGTAATAAGGGATTTCTTTGTATGAAATTCCATCTCATCCCATCTCTCCCCATCCCACACAAGCCAGCTCCCAGATCTAGGTGTTCATTGTAGGCTCAATGCATGTTCGCTAAAGGAGGAAGCTATCTCTGAGAGCTGACTTCTCCTTTTACGTTACAGGGAAAGAAAGGTCACTTGGCAACAACTTCCTTTGATAATTCCCCCTTCTAGCACACGCACCTAAAAATGATTTGTGTTGATTCATTCTTGGAAAGATTTTTAAAATGACTGTTAAAATTTAAATCATGTATACAACCAAAGCATCATTAAAAAGGTAAAGACATGCCATGAGAAGATATTTGCAATGAAGAACTAGTAACCAGAGGACTTTTTAAAATCCTACATATCATTAAGAAAACAGGTAATTAATCCAATGGAAAAGTTAAAAACATACAAGAAGTCAGAAGAGGAGAAGATATGAAGCAACAGTTTACATACGAAAGAACCCCAAATGGCCAATAAATACCTAAAAATACTCAAATCCTACCCATTTTTGGCTCAGTGGATCTGAGCATCTGCCTGTGGATCAAAGGATCCTGGTTTCAATTCTGGTCAAGGGCTCAGACCTCGGTTGCAGGCTCCTCCCAGGCCCTGGCCCTGGTCAGGGCTCCTACAGGAGGCAACCAATCTATGTGTTTCTCCTACCTGGATTTTTTTCTCTCTCTTTCCCTCTCTCTAAAAGTCAACGGGAAAATATACTCAGGTGAGGATTTTTTAAAAAATGTGTTTAAAAATACTCAAAGTTGCCAAAACCGGTTTGGCTCAGTGGATAGATCGCCGGCCTGCGGACTGAAAGGTCCCAGGTTCGATTCCGGTCAAGGGCATATACCTTGGCTTCGGGCACATCCCCAGTGGGGGGTGTGCAGGAGGCAGCTGATCTATGTTTCTCTCTCATTGATGTCTCTGACTCTGTCTCTCTCTTCCTTCCTCTCTGTGAGAAATCAATAAAATATATATTTTTAAAAATACTCAAAGTTATAAATAATCAGGGATGTATCCACAAAAACTATAACCCATCAAATGTAAGAAAATGTAAAAGTTGAAAAATAACCCCCAGAAAATAGTTACACTTATGCACGACTGATGAGAGTCCATATTATTCTATCCACAGTGGAGAGCAAGTTGGCATCCTGTCAAGTTGAAGGGGGGCTCCCCTCACAAACCAGCAGCTCCCTCTGAGAGAGGCTCTTGCTTGTGTAATAAGGGAGACACATTAAATTTATTATAGCTTTGATTTTAAAAAATAAAAAACTTAAAAATCACAACCTGAATGTCCACCAACCAAAAATGGGGGGGGGGAGGGGGGAATGCAGTGCGTTTAAATCCATAAATGAATAAATACTCATGAAATTAATAAAAGTGAATGAACTCAAGGTACATGTATCAACATGGATAAAACTAAAAAAAAAAAAAAAAGCAAATAGCTTGAAAACCTCCTAAATTATCATCCTGCTCTCTCAGCTGCCAGAATCATTCTTTCATCATGCCACTTTCCAGTTTTTAATCTTCCAGTGGTTTTCCATCCCATTGGAAGTAGTTTCTATAGCTTAGCATGACCTAGAGGGTCCTTCAAGATCTGGGTCCTGCGAAACCTCCAGCCTTAGTCATACCAAGTCACTCACAGGTTTCTAAATGAGCCATGGTATCACATCTCGGTGTCTTTGCCAATCTTTTTTTTTAAGTAATAAACAATTTATTAGATCAAAGAAAATTGAATCCTACACTAGAAGGTGAAAGCTGAAAATCACATCATCAAATCTCCTGAGGGCTCTTATCTTTTTTCTTTTAAAAAATATTTTTATTAGCCCAAACCGGTTTGGCTCAGTGGATAGAGCGTCGGCCTGCGGACTCAAGGGTCCCAGGTTCGATTCCAGTCAAGAGCATGTACCTTGGTTGCGGGCACATCCCCAGTAGGGGGTGTGCAAGAGGTAGCTGATCGATGTTTCTCTCTCATTGATATTTCTAACCCTCTTTCCCTCTCTCTTCCTCTCTGTAAAAAAAACAACAAAAAACCAAACAATAAAAATATTAAAAAATATTTTTATTAAATTTATTGGGGTAACATTGGTTAATAAAATTATATAGGTTTCAAGTGTACAATTCTATATGATATTATATATTGAGTTTTCACCACCCTAAGTCAAGTCTCCTTCCATTACCATTTATCCCCCATACTCTCTTCTCTCTTCCCCATCCTCCTTTCCGTCTTGAAATCACCACACTATTGTCTGTATCTGCAAGTTGTGTTTACTTGTGGGTTTTTTTTTGTGTGTGTTTTTTTGTGTGTGTGTGTGTGTGCTTAATCCCTTCATCTTTTTCACCCAGCGCCATATCCTTCTCCCCTCTGATAGCTGTCATTCTTCTCTATGAGTTTCTATTTTGTTTGTTAGTTAATTTTGTTCATTAGATTCCACATATGAATGAAATCACATGGTACTTGTCTTTCCCTGACTGGCTTATTTCACTTAGCATAACACTCCCCAGGTCCATCTGTGCTATAGCAATGGGTAAGATTTCCTTTTTTTTATTTTTAACAGTCAAATAGTATTTCATTGTGTAACTGCTTTTTTTTTAATTTATCAATTCATTTACTGATGGGCACTTGGGTTACTTCCAAATCTTGGCTATTGTAAATAACACTGCAGTTAATATAGGGATGAATATGTTTTTTCAAATTAGTGTTTTGGGTTTTTTTGGATATATTCTCCAAAGAGGAATTCCATGTTTAATTTTTTGAGGTAACTCTACATTGCTTCCCACAATGGCTGCTTCAATCTGCATTCCCATCAACAGTGTATTAGAGCTCCCTTTACTCCACATCCTCGCCAACACTTGTTTGTTGATTTATTGATGATAGCCATTCTGACAGGTGAGAGGTGCTATCTTGTGGTTTTAATTTGCATCTTTCTGATGCTTAGTAATATCTTTTCATATGTGTGTTGGCCATCTGTATGTTCTCTCTGGAGAAGTCTTTTTAGGTCATTGGCCCATTTTTAATTGTATTGTTTGTTTTTCTCGTGTTGAGTTGTTTGAGGTCTTTATAAATTTGAATATTAACCCCCTATCAGCTGTATCATTGGCGAATGTGTTCTTTCTTTCAGTGGGTTGTCTTCATTTTGTTGATAGTTTCCTTTGCTGTGCAATCACTTGTTAGTTTGATGTAGGCCTTGCCAATCTTGGTATGTTTTTGTGGAAGTTTCTTCTCTCATTTCCCTGGCTAATCTGTACTCATCCTTCAGTCCTCAACTCAAGGATCATCTTTTCTTGGAAGAGTTTCCTGACCCCTTTTTCCAGGCGGAATTATAATAGATGTCTACATGCTTCTCCTTTTGATGTCACGGCATCCTGTGCTAACTTACCTTTATTGTATCTAGTGTTCCACTGTGCTCTCATTATTGATGTACCTTTAGGATCAGGTTTTTCTTATCTGAAGGTCTCCAGAATATGGCATACAGTACATGCTTGATGTTTGTTGAATGGATGAATGAATGAATGAATGCCTGAATAGAGTGTGTTTGAGTATGAATTGATTACCTATATGGATCTTATCTAATATTTAGTCATTAAGATCTTGGTAAACTTTCACAAGATAAAAATATCCACGTGAGAAAGCAGACAAGAACCTGGGGCAAAGGCCCAAGAGGAATTTTGTACACATGCCTAGGCAAGGAGACCTGAGGGTAGTAAGGCATACTGGGCTTACTTTCCCACCAAGAGGGCTAAATGATTCACCTCCATAGGTGATCACCTCCTATGGTGATCATGACTTGGGTAGACCAGCTGGCTTAAACTGGGAGAGCCATCTTTTCCAGGAAAATTTGTTTTTGGTATTTTTCCCAGCCATAGGTGATAGGCTACCTTCATTTGCTTTTTATGCTACTTCTTAAGGAATAGTTCTCATGCTATTGAATATCCATATTCTTGGGGTCTTTGCTTCTAACCTATGTTTAGTAGGCCCCCTTGTGAGTCTATCTGGAATGAGCTTAAGCAACTCACTTGCCAGAGCAAGGCCCAAATTCTTTCAAAATATTGTCTGTTGTTCTCATTATGTTCCACTTGTCAGCTTGTGAGATCCACCATGAAGAGATACTACAGAGTTGACACAAGGGAAATGATTTTCTCTGAACCTAGAGACCAGCTCAGACCAGGAAAGATGGAACCACAGACAGGTTTGATCTCCCAGCTGAACAGATAGAGTCATCTTTAACTTTGTAGGGAGGCCTCTGCCACAGTCACCCAACCCCCACCCTCATCAGCTTCCCTCTTTCACATGCCTACTCTTGCTTCTATTCCATCTTCCATCTTCCAAAGCTGGTTGTGTACAGGGCCAAGAACCAGCCAGCTCTTACCAGCCTGTACCAGTCCTCTTCTTTGTGGCCTAATGTTTTCTTTTTTCTTTTTTTTAAGTTTTTTAAAAATATATATTTTATTGATTTTTCACAGAGAGGAAGAAAGAGGGATAGAGCGCCAGAAACATCGATGAAAGAGAAACATCGATCAGCTGCCTCTCGCACACCCCCCACCGGGGATGTGCCTGCAACCAAGGTACATGCCCTTGACCGGAATCAAACCTGAGACCTTTCAGACCAACGCTCTATCCATTGAGTCAAACCGGTTTCAGCTTAGTGTTTTCTCTATAGGGGCTCCCCGATGATAACCAGCCTCTTAGAAAGTTTATAGATGACCCTCTACTTTAAAAGTATGAACTTTTTTTTTTTTAATTACTGGATAACATTTGTCCTTTCTATAGATATCTCTTGACCTCCCCAAAGTTCTCACCCAGAATCCACTTAATACATAAACTTAGGCCTGGATCTTGAAACCTCGGAGCGGCATTATTCCAGCAGGGTGTCCAGTGGAGTCTGTTGCCGATTCCCTTTCTACCTTTGAGAGTTCATGTGTGAGACCCCTTGAGAGTTCAGCTTAGATGCAGCAGAAGTAGTAACAACAAAGGT